TGGGAAGGGATGGGAAGGTTAACAAAGGAGGAGGCTGCAGTGCTTGGTAAGAAATGTACGCATTATCCTGCCCATGCAATTGTAACCCCTCTGTACAGTATGTTCACAAATAAAATAAAATAAAATTAAAAAAAAATACCCAACCCCAGGCCAAAGAAGTCCCCACACATGAAGAATACATAATGAGACTACCAAATACTAAATAAAGTAGAAAGGCAAATCCAAAAAAAAAATATTTTCTTCATTTAGTTTCTATAATACCATATGCTTATTTTGGATTTATTTTTTAGTGGTTGCTCTTAAGTATTCTTTGATAGACTCTTTTCTTCTTTCTACCTGTGTCAGGGCTTGGCCTTTGCTTTTCCTCTTTTTCTTTCTTTAACTTTTCCTCTTGATTCAAGTTGTGGCCAATAAAGCCTATCCAGTATCAGAGCTTTAGATATTTCTTGCTGGTTACTTTAAAATTACATCCTGAACCTTGATCTACAGAGCTCTAAATTCATTTATACAACTAATTACAAAGCAACTACACTTAGATATCTAATGGACATCTCAGAAAATCAACATATGCAAAAGAGAACTCTTGATTTCTTCAAGAGTTTGAACTATTGATATGTTACATCTACGAAGTGACTTTAATTTTCAAACCACTTTCTTATACATTTCAAATTTTACCTTTATAAAAATTTGTTATGACAGCAAACACTAATGCCTTAAGAAACTATGACTTAGATACATTGATGAGGTTTTAAAACAGCCACATTTAGATATTAATCAACCCAGAGTTAAGCAATAGAATCTGGGTCTCCTTAGGCTTGATCATAGATTATGCCGCTTTGTAAGCCATACTTATTGTTTTGAAAATGCTGATTTTACAAGCTGAGTTTTCATAACAGGAAAAGGATCACACAAAATAGCAGAGCACAAAAAAGATAGAACTTTACAATTCTGTGTGAACACTAATATAGCTTTATATAGAGTTTTTCTTTGCAAATTACTGTTTACATACAATTACTGTGATGTTACTCAGAGCTTTTCATTATTCTTCAAGAAGATCCAATTTTGCTGTGTTTTCTGTTCTTCAGAAGGCAGATAAGCACTCTTTTCTTGTCTTGAGAACCAATGACACTTATTTTTACAATGATAAATACCATCTTCAAAATTTAAAGTACTATAACATGTCAATCGTGAAATACCTCTTTAACTTAATAGTACATAGGTCTCTATACAGAAACCAGGAAAATGAAGAAAATATAAAATGAATCCTCAAAAATTCAAACATGCTTGAAAACATGTATTGTATTTCTTAATTTATATCTTATATACTTATGTTGAAACAATAGAACCAACATTATAAAACTAGTTCATTACTTTAGATAATTTAATATCTAAATTATTTGACTAGATTTATCAAATAGTTAAAATTGAAGATTCTAGTTCTAAATATTGTTACAGCTTTTCATTACATATTTTTATGAGGAAAAAAACACAAAAGCTTTACTTGACACATATACATACAACTATCGCATTTAGAAACTCAAAGGAAGTTTAGAATCCAGTAATCACATAATAATCTCAGTTAGATATTCTATAGTTAAACCAAGATAATCTGAATTCTACTGTCAAAAGGTCAAAGCTAGTAGGGGGTGGGCATAACAACACATTTTAAGAACAATTAAGATTTTAACCATTGTGGTACCACTGACTAACTGTAAAGACAATAACAAACAGACTTAAATTCTGCTCTCTGTATAGAGAAACAAGATTATATTTCTTCAATCTGCTAACATCACAACATTTTTGACAATAAAAACCTTTAACTACTCACACATACAATGGTGCTACAGAATCTTCAGTATATGGTAAAAAAAATCTATAATCTTATAATAAAAATACTACCAAAGTAAGATATGTGGGATATTTATGTAAAAAATGTAAAGACATGAAGTTGATCAAAGAGAAATAGAGACCATTCTCTTCTTGACTTCTAAAAGTGTCAATTTCTGTGACACTATGTTCCCATAGCTTTAGTTTTTCATCATTCTTCCTTGGTCTCTGTTCTGGGCTCCTCTTCAGTTACCCAATTCTTCTAGAATCAGTTGTTTACAAAACCAGAATTAACCAGGTACAAGAATTAATGTAACCTAAAATTATTTTATGCAGTTAATTTATAGACTTAATTCTGTGTACAAGAACCCTAGTATACAAGCACAAATTAGAGTTAATCCAGCTGCCTATAATTTATTTTGCTATATTAGAAACACCATATTACATGCTTTTGTTTGTTAAGCAGAAGATATTATTATTTTCAAGATAACCAGGGATTTAATGTTTAATTATCAACACTTATTTGAAAAGCAACATTGCCTTAACTCACAAATTTCTTAATTAGTAAGAGTGGCTTTTCTGAATAGGAATGTTGTATTTTGGCAGATGTGATTTCGAAACCAATTTTTAAAGTAGAAAAGCTTTGAATATCTTCACTGTCAGCAGAAAACACTCCATCCCTGCTGCCTAAGAATATGGTTGCTTGAAATTTTAATAAGGAAATGAAAGCTGTGGTAAGAAAATGGATACCACTGGTAAATGTTGCTTGCAAACTGAAAAAGAAGTTGGGTTGTCAGCAATAAGGGAACTATATATAGTCACACAAAATATGAGGCATCATCTTCACTACATGTTGCTGGGAATGAAAATCAACTTGGCAGATGCCAACTTGAAGAACCTATAGCAAAGCAAACACCCCCAGAGATGAGAATATTATTACAAAAGGTTAACAAATGACACTTGTCCTCTCCCTGAGGAGCGAAGACACACATTTCAAGAGTGGTGGCCGAGGTTCACTTAGAAGTAAGTTGCCTGGTAACTGCAAAATAGAATTCACTGTTATGTTTTAAAAAAGTTAACTAGTTAAAAAATGTTTCTTTCCCCCTGGAGCCACGTCATCATCCACATATTACTGTAATAAAATGGGTAATGTGTTGTAATGACAATTCAAGTATACATCAAAGGTAACATAAAAATTCCTACCCGTTTGGCTGAGCTGAGAAGCACTGCGACTTTTCCTTGATAGACCAACGATAGCTACCATCTTGGCCCCAATGCTAGAGCGTCGCTTCTTGCCACTAGTGCCCAAGGCACCCACTGCAGTGTCAGACTGGCTGCCATCATTCTTCTCCAGTGAGCACATGTCTCCACTGATGCTGGTGCTTTTGGTCATGCTCTTCCCTGACATGCCCATCTGTCTGCTTTGCATTTTAGATGTAAAGACACTGTCAGCCGATGGATCATTAAAAGTGAGGATGAGAATAAAAAGGAAAAGACAGAAAAGGCCTATTAGAAGATGAAACATATGGAATATAATCAAATCTTTTCAACTTGTGGAATGTAGTTTTAGGATTAAAAAATGTTACAAATAGTATGGTTTTGAATATACTTTACTATTCAGGCACAATCATAATGCAACTATGCAAAATCAGAGACTTAGCATTTAAACTTCTGCTGTCAAAGAAGGCAAGTGCACAAGGTTATGCAATAGAATGTGCATTAAAAAAATCAGTGGGCTCATTTAAAAGATCGTGCTGTGCTGCAAGGACAAATGTGCATTTACATAGTTGGTATAAGAAAGAAGTTCCCTTGGAAGTGGCGCTGTGGCTCAAGCGGTAGAGCGCTCGCCTTGAGCTGAAGAGCTGAAGGACAGCGCCCAGGCCCAGAGTTCAAGCCCCACGACCAACCAAAAAAAAAAAAAAAGATATTGGACATGGGGCTTGAACTCTGGGCCTGGGCGCTGTCCCTCAGCTCTTCAGCTCAAGGCAAGCGCTCTATCACATGAGCAACAATGCCACTTCCTGTTTTCTGATGGTTTATTGGAGATAGGAGTCTCACGGTCTCTCCTGCCCGGGCTGGCTTTGAACCTGGATCCTCGATCTCAACCTCCTGAGTAGCTAGGATTACAGGCGTGAGCCACCGGGGAATTTTTTTTAAAGGTAATAAGTATGGTGCTTATTTTTTAGGAGTAGTTTTGGCTTGCTTGCTCAGCCAGTACTTTGCCACTTAGACTGGATTATTGCTGGTAAATTGGAGATAGAATCTTTTAGACTTTTCTGCCTAGACTGGCTACAATTTCTCAGGTTTCAGCCTCCTGATAAGATAGGATTACAAGTTTGAGCCACCAGTGCCAAGATAATATGTAAACATCATCTTATTCTTGACAGTAATAGGCTTTGATGAAGATTGCTGATGCTACATCAAAATGAATGTTCTCATTTTATGTTAAGGCTTAGTTAATAATGGTTAAATTTTCTATCCAGGTTTGATATTTTCATTAACAGTTAATTTTAAAATGTTATTTCACTTTAGTTATTTTAATAATTATAATTAATGAATTAATATAATTGTGTTCAAATCAATGTTCCAAAAATAAAGATCAAATTTCATTCTGGCTTTCAGAAAAATAATTACCAGATTGTAGAAATAGCTAAATTTATTTATGCATAATATCACAACAGTTTTAACCTACTATTAGAAAGTCAAAATGTGTGCTCTAAGCTTGTTCTGATAAGCAAGTTCTAACTAAATTTAAACTAGCAATTAGTAATTATTCAATTAAAAGTACTTAACATATAAACAAAGTAATAAAAGGAATAGAAAGTCAAGAAACACACACACAGGACCATAAGTAGATATACATGATCAAACTGACTGAAGCATAGTATATGTTGGGGGTGGATTTCCATGGTGTAAACCCTTTGAACAATTAAGAATCAGTTTAACAAAATGAATACCAGGAAGCTAAAGCATATCTTCTCTTAGGGGAGGGAGAGGTGCTGATTACAAGGAGGGATATAGAGGAACAGAGCTGAATGGTTAACAAACACAGTGATAATTCGCAAGTATGTATGTTAATATGGAACTAGTAACTCTCAAGAGATGGCTGAAAATGGGATGGATGTAGGGAGGGAAGAATACTGGAAGGGATGAGACTGATGAACATATTGTACACATAAATGGACATGTTAGATTGAAACCCCTTTGTACAAATATTTGAAGATAATAAAGTCAATAGAAATCTCTATATACATCTCTAAGATGTGATGATGAAAACAGTGAGCAATATCTTGGTCATCCAGGGGAAAAAAATTTAAAGGATAGAACCATGTGTTAATTTTATTAATCTACACACATTTTCTCAAAATATTTATTAGGGAAAAGACTCAGTGTGAAATTTTAAAAAAATACAGCAAAGTGTACTATTTTATCCTTCATATATATACATATATACAAACACACACACATATACACATATGAAGTGTATATAGACTTTGGAACAATGAATCTAAAGCAAAAACTCAATAAATCAAAAATATAATATTCATTTAGGAAATAATGATAAGGTTAAAACCGTCAACATGTACTACCTGAACATTTAAAGCATCTATAGAAATAATAATGCAACTATTGTTTTAAAAACTTTGAGATTAAGGGGCTGGGAAGGTGGCTCAGTGGTAGAGCGCTTGCCTTGCATGCTTGAGGCCCTGGGTTCAATTCCTCAGCACCATATAAGCAAAAAGAAAAAAGCTGGAAGTGGTACTGTGGCTCAAGTGGTAGAGCGCTAGCCTTGAGCTGAAGAGCTGAGGGACAGCACCTAGGCCCAGAGTCCAGGCCCCACAACCAGACCCCCCCAAAAAAAACCCCAAAAAACTTTGAGATTAAAAAGTCTAGAATAGCTTTAATGCAGCTACATTACATCATGGGGAATAGGTTGCAATGAGTGCCAAGGACATTAGGTTTGATGTTTGACTTACTGATTTAACCACGTGCTCTGAGGAGAATGTTTCATCTTTCTAAAACTTAGTTTTCGAATTTATTAAAAGTGAAAGCATGAACAAAGGTATTGAGCAGAATGCCAAAGAGATAATCAGGGTAACAAAAAATCTCTTTTTCTTTTTTACTGTTATCCTCACCACTATCATTATCCATTCATGAAACACTCAGAACAAGAATATCTTTAAGTTTTTCTTTATGAAATGCTTTGCTCTCAAATATCTATTTCATTAATTTTGAGGAAAATAAACATACAACATATGATTTTTATAGTACACTGACATCATAAAACAAATGACATGGCTTTGAAAAGTTTAATTGAAACCAAGTCTTTAAACATCTCATAGTTTAACCTAGTGTTCATTATATAAGAACTTGTACCATAAACATATTGCTTTTCTAAAGAAGTCAGATATACTCACAAAATATTTCTTATTGAATTCTGTAATTTTTCTATTTTGATTTTATTAATTGTATACAAAGGCGATAAAGAAGTTAAAATCAGGAATAAAGCTAACTACAAACTGAAATTTGATTATATGGACACCCATTTTTTGTACACTAAAAACTTTCATAATGTAAAAAGAAAAGTAATTAAAAGATTTATAAGATGAATCTGTTTTTCATCTCCTTGAAACTTAAGAGATCAAAAGCAATGAGGTTACCAACTTGGCTGAGATGTTTTGGCTGAGATGTACTTGGCTGAGATGTTTTAAGAGGAGGGAGCCTGAAGCTAGGATATTACAGTACTTATCTTTACTTTTCTTTATTCACTTGGTATCATGTAAAACTCAAGCAAAAAAATGTTGCCAGCCAACATTTGTTTGGTAAACAAAACTTTTGTTTTGGGACTCTTGGTTTATGGAATACTTTGTAGCAATGCATGTATAAGCACGGCAACCATTTGAAAAATGTGGTTGGGAAAGCAGGTCTATCAAATTAGCAATTGCTTTAAATGAGAAAGTTGGTAAGAATCTGGAAATATAAATTTCAGTGCTGCTTTTGGGATTCTCAGTACTGTTTCTGAAAAGAAACTTGGCTATATGTATCAAAACTTTTTATTTTTATTTTTATTATTTTATTTTTTGGGTCCGGTCGTGGGGCCTGAACTCTGGGCCTGGGCGCTGTCCCTCAGCTCTTCAGCTCAAGGCTAGCGCTCTACCACTTGAGCCACAGCGCCACTTCTGGCTTTTTTCTTTTTGCTTATGTGGTGCTGATCGAACCCAGTGCCTCATGCATGCAAGGCAAGCGCTCTACCACTGAGCCACCTTCCCTGCTCCCAAAACTTTTTATATAAATGTCCATAACCTCTAACTTAGCAATTGCACTTTCAGGATTTAAGAGAAATCTCAGCAACATGTACAGATCCAGTTGCAGTGATACTTATTGCACAATTAGTATTTGCAAAGAACAAACAAAAGCATGAGAAAAATCTATAAATGTCCAGTTTAAATGAATTATGTTAATCAATAAAATAGAATGCACTTTTAAAAATGTGCGTATTAGTAAATATTTATTGACCTAAAAAGATACTGTTGATGGGGAACGGGAAGCAGGTATCTGTTGCTTAGCTTTAGCTGGCACTCATATCAAATAAGGATTCTCCCTACTCCTAGAGTACACAGGCAAATCCAAACTCTGAAGATTTCCAAGTGGCATGAATAGAAAAGATTGGTAAAACAAAGAATACAGATGAAGTTCTTGCTGAACTATATGGTTTGTGAAGGCAAGACTCATGAGATTATGTATAGTCTGTACAAGAGATTAAAGAAAACATTAAGAAAAATAATATTAAAGGTTCAGATTGATAATGCTTTTATGGGGAAATACAAATATATACAGAAAAGATCTCTAAGGATGTACTGTGATCACTGTATTTCACCCTTTTTCTAGCTAAGTTTTTTAAACATTCTTTTTTTTTTAATTTGGCCTTTTCCAGAAAAAACACAAAAAGTATGAATGAAAAAAAATGAATTAAATTAAAAGAAAGGGACAAAAAGAGCAAGCAAGGACTAGCATCACCTTTTCTTCACATAAGCAAACTCATTCAACCTTCTTAGCTCATTCCATGGGCTGAAGATAGAGATAGCTCCTAATAGATTATTGCATTATATTATTGCCATACAATGCTTTGTTTCAGAAGAAACGGTTTCTACATTTTTAGGGATTATTTTATGCATGATTTTGAATATTTGGCTTTGGAAAATTTATAAAACCATCATATATTTTGTTAATTCAGATGTGTAAAACTGCCAGTGTAAATAAATGATTAATTTTATGACAATGTATAGTTGTTAAAAGTTGTATACTGAAAAAAATTTTCAAAGGCAAAGGTAGTATAGTCAATTATTAAAAGAAAGGTAATGAATAATAAAAAGTTTAGTGAATGTTTGTAAATACTGCCCAAAGACATAATAGTATGTTAGGGGTTACCAGTATATGTGATTAA